GTGTGTGTGAACTTCCTTAGCACATGGGAAAAAAGTGTCACTGCTACAGTTGTCTGCCATTTCGTAATTCAAGGGGGCTGGACATGTGCATCGATCGCCAGCCCAACGAAGAGGGCCTTTGCAAATGCTGATATTCTCGGGAGCCGTCCTGGGAACGTACCTGCAATGAAGTTGGTGACTTTCTACTCATACAAGCTGTGAATGGTGCTATCCCGTGATATCGTCGCTGCACAAGCATAGCATCTGCAACCAGCTCGCATGACAGGCAACAACAACCCCGCCTCCCCCCTCTTCTCTGCCTTCCTCTTGCTCTTGTCGAAATCCCACAAGTATGGAGCATAGGGTCCCGAAGCCCCTTAACAGCGGCTTTCCGTCAAGGCGCCGTGGTGGCCCTGCGGGGCAGCTGGCCAGGAGCCAGATATCGATTGACTCTTTGGGCGGATGGGCTGACGCTCCCAGGTACCTATTCCATACCAGCTATCCGGAACCAATACGGGCAGCGGCACGTGCGGATGGCGGCATGTGCATCTGACATGAGGGCATGTGCAGTAACGGTGCGTCTAGTGCAAGTGTGATTGTGCAGGATTACCTCCCCTATGCTGTCCTTATTTTATCGCTTCTCTTCTCAGGGAATGCAAGTGCATGTGAGTCTGACATAATGAGTGCAGGTGCAGTAACTTGCATCTAATGCTTCGCTCCTCCGGGAGCCTTGTACTTCGGCATTGCATCTTCTTGCCTCCCCCAAAGCAGACCACCAGCGGCAGCAGCAACGCGAAAGCGGTCCCGCGGCCATGTTTACTCGGGCTTCAGTGCATGTGCGTCTGACATGAGTGCAGATGCAGCAACTTTCGACTAACGCATTGCTCCTCAGATAGCCTGCCAAACTTGTGTGGCGCTGTGTGTGTGCCTGAGCTTCCTTACCACATGGGAAAAATGGGTCATTGCTACAGTTGTCAGCCGTTTCGTAATGCAGGGGGGCTGAACATGTGCATCGGTCGGCCGCCCAACGAAGCGGGCCTTGGCACATGCTGATATTCTCGACATGCGGCAGCATCGGGCCACTAGCGAGCCGAGTAGCTGAGTAGCTGTGATATGATCGATATTGTCAGTGCGGGTGAAATGACATCTGCTTTTGCCCCATGGGCGCAAACACGGAATCATATCCTCCAAGCTCGAAAGGTGATATGAGCAACGAGGTGGCTACCAGTAGCGACAAGTTCCTCATGAAAGGCATGCAGCTTTTGACCAAGATCTGTCTAAAGCACGCGATGGACGTCAGAGAGCTACAGGCGGCCACACTGCTCACGATTCAAATGCACAAGGACTCCGATTTCATCGCCAATGTGATCGCCGCGACCCGCAAGGCCCGCAATTACAATGATGAGCAGTTCAAGGCGAAATTTTCGGGAGGGCAAGCTCCGGTAGAACAGCCGCATTGCCACGCATTGATTGCGATGCTTGAGACGCTGTTGCAGCAAACTTCCATTACAACCACGGAGCGGGAAGCGGTGCAAAAGCATGTACATGACTGTTGTGGCAGTCCAGCAATGGTGGCCGCGGTTGTTCATGTTTGCCGCATCAAGAAATGCTTCGATCAGTAGATGAAGGTGTGCATTGCGAGTTAGCGAGCATGTCAAGCCGGTTATGTCCAACCTGGATGATCGTTTGCATGAGAAGGGTGGAAAACTCTCCATGGCCAAGCTCCGAAAGGGGGCCTCGAGCGAGACATGCAAACGTATCTCGAGCAACTCAATGACATGCTGAAGTGATGAGTGCATTGTCGGGTGAAGTAAGTAGTCCTAATGCTCTTGTGACGGGCTCGGCCCCGTTTCGATCATGATGGCTCGCCTCATTTTTGCGGGGTGAGCAACAAGCCTTGTTACTATTGAGTCCGCGCCCTCCTGGATACACCGAGAGAACGCGATGCGTACTGTCAAGGCAACAGTCCTAGACAGGTTGGGCGGCAAACGC